TATGAATCCCTGCAGTCACGAAAGCTTTAAATCAAAATCTTAACACCTGTTTTATTGCCAGAAAGGGTAACACCTATTCTTATTAATCATACTTTGATGCTGGTAAAAAAAGTCCCTTGATTTCTAAAATGAATTTGGTCACAAATGAAATGTGGCCCTGCTGCTGTTTTTGTCTTGCACTTGTAGACAAAATATGAGCCGGATGAGGGCTCGGTCAAAATCAATATTATTTACACGTGTATAAATATCGTACCAGTCTCACAATCCGACCCAGGGTTGTCCCACTATCGGCTTATTGTCAAACATCATACATCCGTTCATCGCAGCTCAAGCCAAACGTGTGAAGTGTCGGCGGTGTGGAAATAAATAAATGCGTCATTCCCATCTAGCGCTGCCCTCAACAGCCCTTATGGCAGTAAATAGGGACCACTCAAAACAGCCCCTCGCTATTCACTCCACAAGCCACCCCCCCCCCCTCCTACGTAAATGATGCCAAGTGCATTTTCCTCTGATGTGCCAGACTTATTAATGTACTAAGTAAATTTAAGAGCAAACAGGAAAATGTTGATGGCAAACGCATCCAGCCTCCGCACCCCCTCACACAGCCCATTTGATAAATGATCACGTATCAGGATTCAAGATTCGATTCTTTGTAACATGCAATGAATGGGGATGCCTGCTTGGATGCCATAAACCTATTGCCATAAGCTTCGGAATTCATGCGAATTAATGAATAAACACATTATTCCAGCCCTAATGTTTTTGCGAGTTTCATGCAAACCACATGTGTGTATCCACCATCATCTGGGGGGTTAAACATATAGAAATCAATAAGAAAACCGGTGTATGTTTAACTTCGTCCGCACCATGCGTAGCCAACCGTGCGAATCGGAGGTGCGGGGGAAGGGCAACAAACGATGGCATATCATGAAGGCTTCGTGTGGATTCACCACGTAGAAAGGAGGAGCCAGGAGTGAATTGGGAGGTATGTGCAAGAAGATGGAAGTTGCTGACAGAAAGAGCACGAGCGAAGTCCATAGCCGAGGTGGAAGAATAACATAAAGAATTACGCGGAGAAATGAGGAGAGGAATTGAAGAACGGGACAAGACATGCGGACCCCAACGTACAGGAAGAAGAACAGAAACTGACAAAAGGATCAATCAGCCCCCCCCCCCGTCTGAATGCCAACACAGTGTACTTTTCCGGCGGCAGTCGTGCTGAACTAATCAGTGTCTGGACTCCTAAGTTTGTTTTCCAAAGGCAATTAGTCACCACATGCTCTACCATCTCCCAAAAGACTACGTGCAGCCAAGAGCTCAGTTGTGTCAGTAACACCTGCACAAGCCAATCTTAAATTCCCTATACTTTTGGCTTAGGGAAATCATTCACGGTTAATGCCAGTTGAAGTCTACAAACCACAGCTCGTTCATTTTGTTTTTCAATCCACTTGTCCTGGCGAGGGTCGCGGCGGCAGCATGTTGAGTAGGGCAGTCTAGACCTCCCTTTCCCTGGCGACAGACTCCAGCACTACATTACTATACACTACTACGCACTACATTAGATAATCTATCGAAATTGAAAGAAATAAAAATGATTTTAACCGTTTGGATAGCTCCCGCCTTAGTGCTGCTTGGAAGCGAATCATCAAATAACACATTATTTAAATTAATGCCTATAGAGGGCAGCGTACTTCAGTAGGGATTACTGTTTTAATACACAACAGATATGGAAGGACAAGATCAAAGGGCTCGCATAATGTACATCCACTCATTAATCCCCACCCCCCACTTGGCGCAAGAGCACAGGAGCGTGGTCACCACATCAACGCCTCTATGTAAGGAACGAAACAGGTGGACTTCTCCACAAATCTGGCTGTCGCCTGATGAAGCTGGTTGTAATTACTGGCGAAACGTCGTACTCAGATTGTAAACGTTGCGGCTTGGCTCTCCAACACACCGGTGTGCTGTACTAGTGACGAATTGGCCACGTTCTGTTTACGTGACAACCCTTACTAGTTGGCTGCGTTGGGTGGTGGCGGGTTTAACGACACATTTATATATTCACGCGATCTAACCCCAAAAAATGAAACCTATATTATGGGTGATATTGGTCGCGAAAGCCTACACGTTAAACACACTACACTACTATACATTACTATACACTACACGACTGTACATTACAATACACTACACTACTACACTATATGACTACACTATACGATACACTACTAGACACAGACTCTTTGCTCTTCCTGGGGAATTCCCAGACGTTCCCAGGCCAGCTGAGCGACAATCCTGCCAGCGTGTCCTGAGCCGGCCCTGGGGTCTTCACAGCTAATTCATATTGTTTTTTTTATTATTTTACTACCAATTCTATTCCAATGGTAGCATTCGTATCACGTCACCTCATCAATCCTCTTTATTAACACTAGGGATGTATTATTTGGGTATGACGTTCAAACAGTGTCACATGTCAATCAAGCCAATGTTATTCATTCTCAGTACTGCAATATGTGCAAGTGACAAAAGAGATGTAGTTCTAGTTTTGCAGTCATCGTTGACTGAGCTGAGACCATCAGCTTGCTACGCTTAATCTATATCAATCCGTGACATTTGAAAACCCCTGTTTTTTATCATGGTGGATGTGCAAATTCTATCCCAGACTCCCAGTGATGCCAGCTCACCACAAAAGGGCCTTTGCAGTATTTGCCACACGGCTGAACCAAACACATTACAAAGTAACTGCATTCAGCCCTGTCAGGACATCACAGCCACGCGGCGGTCAATGTCACACAGATGTTGGTTTTGGGCAATAGCGGGGCTCCTGCCAACAGGCCAGTTCAGATTAATTCCAGGCAACTGCTCCAGCACTGGATTCGGATCAATGTGCGGATAAATTTTGATGGATCTGAACCACACGTGTGAAGGAAAAACATTTCATGGCACTGAACCGTAATATTGCCCAGAGCTCAGGTTTCCGCAGCGAAGCCAGAGACGGGCACCGGTTTTAAAGGAGGCCAGAAAAAGGCTCAAATAAATAAATGCGACCCTTTTATCTCACTTGGTATTGTTAATGCAAGTGTGTATAAATATACGGGGTGAAGCGATGTTTGCAGTGGTTAGCACAATGTGCTATGAAGTCAGCAATCCGAGTTCGATTCCCGGTGATCGCTAACATCGGTGACGAGTAATATCTGAACCAGTCCTGGGCTTCCCCCCCCCCCCCCCCCCATCTAGATCAACCTATGGTTTCCCTCTCAGGGCCTCTCCTCATTTTCATCACCTGCCCACTTCCATTCCTTTGTTTGATCTCCCAGAAGTCCTAGCCGGTAGGTGATGTCATTCTCATTTACGTTCACATTTACCCACTTCTCCGCTTCCGCATCCAGCGCTGTCCCCTCCGCTCAAGCTTTAAAATCCACTGTTGTTGCCCTCATGATCTAGAATTTCGTCCCCCTGCCATCCTTGCTGCAAACTCCCTGTTCATCTATGACTGACCGTCGCTTCTCTATGCAGTGTCTCCAATCACACTTCGTCCAAAAACGATTAACTATTGAACAATTTTTATTTCGCCAGGTAAGGCCCACTGAGCTATATAGCTCTATTTCAGAAGCGACCTGGCAACAAATGATAGATCAACGAAGTGGCTTATCATGTGGAAATTTATAGCAGCCAAATACTCAAAAACGCACGTTTCTATATGTGGAGCAAAAAACAAACCGGAAGACCCGGGAAAAAAAATCCACACGACCATGGCGAGAACATGCAAACTCCAAATATACAGCCGTCAGGGTCGAACCCATAACCTCCTGTATAGCAGGCGAGGCAGATAACATCTCGCCACCACAGTGCCCTAAAAAAACATACATACCACCCACTTCAGTAGTCCCCGTGACACATAATAATAGGTTTTTACCCTTTTATCTGGCACCAAAACTGACACCTTTATACAAGGGATCATGTTTGCAATAACCACAACACAAGCAGTCAAAATGCAAACAAAAAGAGACAACTCTGATAGTAATATACATTGTCCTTGAAGTTGATTGGTCCACACCCGAGACGGCTTTTCTTAGAGCCTAGTCTCCACTGGTGTTGGACCAGATGGTGCCAAAAGGCGTATAAAGGTGTCAGTTTTGGTGCCGGATAAAAGGGTAAAAACCTATTACTATATCTTGCTACTGGCAAAGGAGGCCTCTTAATGTAAATCACGTGACACGTCGTGCTGTTTTATAGTACTGAGATGCAGTTGCGTCTAACTGCTATATAAAAAAAAATTATATCGTCTCGCCTGTGCCTGCCACCCAACTCATCCCTGCGGATATCTCCTGTGGCAGCTGCAATGGCTGAACGCAGCACTTCACAAGTCTACTGCGACGCACCTTTATTGCAGGCCTGCATGGAGACAGGACACAATTATAACGGAAAAGCTTGCAGAAGTCCATATAAAATCTCACATAATAATGAATACGTTTCAGCCCATTGCCAGCTTGCTGCTTTACCATACTTCACTATACCGATCACTACACACAAAGTGCTCGCCACAAATGAACCACAATACCTTGCTGATCTCATCAAGGAGCATAAACCATCACGCGAACCCCGGTCATCTTCGCAGTGGCTTTTAGCCAGCCATCCAACAAAGGCGATCACCGCATTGCGACCTTTCAGATGTGCTTCTGCGGCCGTCTGGAACGTTCATCCTCCGATATTAGGAAGCCACTGGAGCTATGCACTTTTAAATCGAGATTGAAAATGTATTTCTTTAGAACTGCTTTTTGTGTTTAGTTTTTTGGGACTGGGGGAAGGGGCGGGGGGGGGGAGAGGAAGTGGTGGGGGGGGGGGGGGGCATGGGAGGGAACCAAATCTGTTTCTCAACAGCGAGCGTTTGCAGCGTTCCCAGGCCGTCGCTGGCCGCGACCACCACTCACCCCAAGCCCGTGATCCGGTGCGCAAGCGCGCGGTGAGAGCGGCGCGTCGTTGGGCAAGGCCACACTCACCCCATGAGCAGGTATATGAGCACGGTGACGGAGAGGCAGACGCCGCACACGCTTGAGTGGCGGCACAGGAAGAGGATGACGTAGCACATGAGGCTGAGCAGCACCACCCACACCATGTTGAGGCTGAAGAAGTGGTAGAGGCTGAAGAAGCCGGCAGCCACGCAGCACAGGTGCTTGGTCCATGGTGGCACACCTGTCCACGCGCGCGCAACAAAAGCTAAGACAAATATCTGTACCCCCCCCCCCGCCTATCTGTAGCTGTAACTGACAGTTGAGGGCAAGTGCTGTTCATGAGCACCATTCTTGTAGTGCAAGGCTAGCACGAAGGAAGGCGCTGATTCAGAGTCTTCAGTTGTTTCACAGTTGGGGCAATGTTGCCGTGTGCAATGCCAGTTCGAGTAATTTATAGGTATTTATTTTGAATTTGCCAAATTTGGACCCTGACGCAAGTGACTCATTTCAAATTACACCAGGGGATAGGTGTCTATTTGGCATTCGAACATTTTAACCCCTCTGCATTATTCCCAGGAAGCGTAAAGCCTTTTCTTTATTTTTATCATCTTCATAATGGAAAAAAGGGTCCCATAGACAGATCAGGGGATGTTTGTATGCTTGTATGTGTGTACATATGTACGTTGATTTGTTGAACTTCTTTCGCAACGCACGTATCCACCCGTGCTAATCGGAGGTGCGGGTTGAAGGACAGCATCCACTGCGAGGCAGACGGCCAGCAGTACGCTAATACGCCATCACTATTGACCAGGGCGGCCTGCCGGATTCGAACCAGGGACCTCTGCAACAAACGGCGAATGCGCTATCGCTCTGCTGCCACTGTGCAGCCAATGTGCTGTGTCGGTGCAGCACGGTTGGCTGCATGTGCCCTGATTGTGTCTACGGTCCCCTTGACGCAACGCGAAGTGTGAATGCTCCGACGGCGCAGTCAGGCCTAAATAAAACCAATTTCAACTGAAAAATACCTGTGAATAATTTGAAAAAAACATTTAGAAAAATTTGAACAAGTCTTATTTATTCGGCAGGCTCAATTCGGCGATCATTTAGCAGGCGGCATTTGTGTTCACTAAAAAACATGGTATCTGAATTGCTTCACGTCAACCACCCAAAATATAATTGCCTGAATGTGTGTGTGTAGTTTTCTGCTAAACTTAATGAATATTTTGTAAAATGAAAAATTTCGTGTAAATTTTAATTGGATATCTCCACATAAATATTAGCACGTATCAATCTGAATTGAATTAACTCGCTAGCAATGTAAACAGTGTTGATCAAAGTTAAATCACGAATGCATTCGCTGAAAGGTCTTGGGACTGATTCAAAATTTCAAACATATCTTGTTTAACCCTTGTTATGGGTGCCAAGTTGTTTGAACCTGGTGATTTTAACTTGCTTTAACTCTCAATTGCTCTATTAGTGTAGGATATGAGAATGTGTTTTTGCATAAAGTTACTCGATGTGGTCATTACCTTCCCTCACTTCACCATCGCGTACTTTACCAATATTAACGACCTTATTGACCTCAGCTTCCGAGTCTGTGCCACTGCACAATCTCAGTCCTTGTGTTAATGCAGCTCCTGCGGTACAGCCTGGATAGATCGCGATGCCCCATTCAGCACACGTGGAGGCCGCTCTCCGATCTTACATTAACATGTCAATCTGTCACATTAACATAGCCATCTCCACGTAGAGGCCACTCTGTGATCTTACATTAACATGTTAATCTCTCACATTAACATAGCCACCTTCACTTAGAGGCCGCTTTCCGATCTTACATTAACATGTCAATATCTCACATTAACATAGCCACCTCCACGTAGAAGCCGCTCTGTGATCTTACATTAACATGTTAATCTCTCACATTAACATGCTAATCTCTCACATTAACATGTTAATCTCTCACGTTAACATAGCCACCTCCACGTAGAGGCCGCTCTCCGATCTGACATTAACATGTTTTTCTTTGAACCTATCTACGTGACTTTACCGAAAGACCCAAAGAATATGAATTCCTGCAGTCAAGAAAGCTTTAAGTCAAGATTTAACTGCCAATCCAGTGTTATAATGCATTCATTAAAGTTTTCACGAATAGTTTTCTGGCTCAAAAAGGGATACCCCTGTGGCTTGTTAGCAACAGAATGTTTTACACAGTCAATCCCATCAGTTACATGTTTGTTTTTCATCTCTATGGTGTGTTGCTATTCTTGCAAGATTATGTGGACATGACACAAGTACGATTGCTAACCCAATAAATAAAAAAGTCCCCTTAATATTAAACGTCAGCGTGTATGTATGTACTGCATATCGAACTTCTTTCGCATCGTACGTAGCCAACTGTGCTAAATGGAGGTGCGATAATATCCTTTCCATAAGTAGTTAGTATCACATATATGTTTTAACTCGAATTCACCTGTGCACGTGAACTTTAGTGACAACTAGCTTTACTACCCGGCTTCGCCCGAGACTTGGATTCTTCTTCTTTGGTTCTTTTGGTAAAGTCACGTAGAATGAGAATAAAATAATAAATTGATAAAATAATTGTCTTGGATTAATACACGGCCTACGCGGAGGGTGGGGGGGGGGATGCGTGACGTCAGCAGGCACACTGCGTCACGCTGCCGCATGCGGGTGACATCATAGATGTGATGTCACCACTCACTTGCTGTGCAAAATATATCCATTATTGCGCCCCCCCCCCCCCCAACAATACAAAAGTATTTTTTTTATACTTTTTGCATTGTGTAAAGTCTGGAAGCTACCCAAATCCCAAATTTTAAGTTTGTTGCATATTGGGAAGTATGCTAAACATTTCGAACAGACACACATTCACAAATTTCCCTTTTATATACATGCCTATGCTTTCCTTTATTGAGATTAAAGTCACACATCAGATTCAAGGGTTAGCAAGTTCACGTGGACTGCACATTTAATTCCCAGAATTAATCCTAGAATCAATGCACTTAAGGGGAGGAGATGGCCAGCTCCTGCAAACTAATTAATTCATTATATCACACATGACTCGGTTAGAAAAAGCAAACGCTGCCATGGTAATGTGGCTCGCACACTGGATTTGCAATCCAGAGATTGCCGATTTGTTCTCCTAGCATTGCAGTTGAAACGTGAGGAATATATATATCAAAATATCCCCTCACCTCCATCCACCCAACACTATAATTGGGTATGTCACAGTCAATCAGCAAGTCGTATGCGGTGGGGTGAAGTGTGAGTACTTCCACCTCTTCCAACATGTCTTGTCAGTATGGTAAGGTAGGCCAACTTCCCTTTAGAGGGACTCTGTCCAGAGCTCCCCTACAGTGAAGGCCCTCCTACCAGCAGTGGCACGAGTAGGCAACTGCAGGGTTGCACCTTTGCCATATTTTGCTTAGAAATATCATTATCATCATTGGCTTTGCTCTCTCTATTTCCTGTGATATGTGAACTCAATACAAAGGCCCTCAATCTGCACATGTATAATTGTTGAACGTAAACTGTGCAATTTAGTTTGTACATTGCTATTGTCTGTCAATCTCATTTTAGCAGCCGAGGAGATGCATTCAATTACTTCGTCAGCCTGAAAAGCTTATATACGAAACACAAATGAAAGTGTGCATGTCTGATTAGAGAATGCAAGACCCGTATTTGCTATTGCACGTGAAACACACGTGCAATAGCAAGATTTTAAAAAATCCTGACATTGAATAAAGATGAACCGCGTGTTTAAAGTTTAATTCCACATTACATATTCCAGTAAAAATACGGCCTGCTGCATATCCTCCAAAGCGGAAAAAAGGTCATGCAAGAAGCCACGCTAATGTAAAAGTTCGGCGCTAGCATTCGCATAAATACTTCCAGAGGGTCTACAACTGATCGCGTTAGTGCCAGCCAATTACGCCCGGGCAATAGGAGGCTGTGAAAAAGTGAGAGACACGCAAAATGCAATGATGCAAGTCGAGCAAAAAAAATATATATATTATTTCGAAAATGGGAAAAGACGACTGTACAGGCTTGGAACGTTCTCGGTAATCGCCACATAAAAACACTGGAAATCTGTGAAGTCGTTATGTGCAATATCAGCAGTACTGGTTTATATCGTTTTTTTTCAACGACGTATTATCGCGACACGGTGCACACGTGGCACACTAGATAGTGTACCGTGACCCCATGACTCGGGTGACCTAATTCTCAGCCGTGGTTAAAATCAGCGGTGAGTGATGCCACCCGTTCCACCTTACCGAAAATCACTGACCAGTGTGGTGAAGTATGGCCAAACATCCTACGTGACTGACATTGTATCAGGGAGGAGTTCTACATCAATAAGTGGATTTATGAGGACTATTAAATTAAATAAATATTTTCACTGCAGTGTTTTTATACTGCTCTCCAGTGAAATAGACAATGCATCACAGAGGGGTTTCACCTGTTTAAATTAAGGAAAATGTATTCAATTTAACAGATCTGATATTACTGAAAGAAATACTACCCTCCTATAAATGTCACGCATTCCTTGTCATGCTGGTGCAAGCTGTTTGCAAATAAAATGTCATTCTTATAATAGCAAGTGTGTCAATGAGACTTCCTAAAAGGGTTATAAAGATGTATTTGTTTCCCCAAGGACAACATATCCGCAGTAAAGACTGCTGTGAAAATGCCTCTCACCTGTCACTACACTGACAAATCCAACCACCTCAAGTGATCAGCGCATTTTTTAAGTATCTGGAAACCCTCTAATGCACTTCTCTCTCCATGCAGAGCCTGTAAATTGCTCCTCGAGAGCAAATGCATGCATTTGTATAAAACCCACGGTACCTACGTGCTCACACACATACACACGCATACAAAGTCAAAGAACCCCCAAATAGCCGTAAGAGACTGTTGGGGAAAGTGCTGTTAGCGAGCACCTATGAAGGCTGGCATGGCGCACGAGGGGGTGGGTGGCCAGCACCATGCCCAGCTGCCTTTGTCTCCCCAGTGACGTTGTTTACACATCGCACCAGGTACTCACTTGAGGCTGAGTCGACCTCGGGGAAGCTCAGGACCAATTCAGAAAATCGTCACTGGTCTTGGCCGTGGGCCGGAATCGAACTCGGGTAGCTGGGTTCGTTGCGCAGTGCGCTAACCGTTGCACAATCACTCCCAACACACTCACACACGCATGCATGCATAAACACACGCTCAGGCCCTAAGTGCTCACTTCCACCTTGCAAAATGTGACTAATTTCAATTTTAAGCCTAACTACCGTGGGGAGGCACAAGGCTGCGGACGACGCTTGTGGCGTTTAGGTTTGGGGATACCTTCCTACGGAGGGTGATGCAAGGTCATGCACCATTATATGGTGCCTGACAATGATTCATTCTCGTGTGGCAAATAAATAAATAATAAAGGTGTGGCCCTGCAATTGCCCGCTCACCCCTCTGTTGGCGAAAGGGCCCCCCGCCAGAGGGAGCTCTAAAGGGAGCCCCTCTAGAAGTAATTGGAGTAGCCACACTTTACCACGCCACACACAACCTCCCGACTGACTTAATGTCCACCGCTGGGGGTTGGACAGGCAGATGGGATTCAAGACATGTGCCCACCGGTTCAACTGTCACGCCGGGAGATCAATCGGACGACCTCTGAGTTGCAAGTCCAATGTGCTAACCGTTACACCATGGTGGTAACGCTCTCCTGTGCAATCAGGTCTTCATTCCAGCTGGGTCTGACCACGTTGGCGACTATAAACATATTTCCACACTGGAACCCTACAACAGGCATTAGTGCTGGATACAGTCAGATTTGCAAATGTGATTTGTAACTTTGCTCCTCACCTGTGTATCGATAGTTTAATGTGAATGTGTCATTTTATTGAGAGACTACTATTGTGTGGCATTATCTTGATGTGGTCTGGGAATTGTTGTTGTTGTTGTTGTTTTTGCCGCCTTGCCCAAGATTGATAAATCGGACTTATACAAGTTATCGATTAAATATGTATTTATATTTAGTGACTTGCTTACCTCTTTCTCTATTTTGCACTCCAATCGTTCTGTGAATGTTTGCTGCTGTAATTTGCTGACCTGCCCATACTGGACATCTGTGAAAAAGAGCTTCGCAGCTCATCAGATTCCTCCAGTCTAATTAATTATTCTGCTTCAGTATGCCTCGATCTATGGTTGTGAGCTACCAGTCACATGCCAACCTACGTCAGTCTAACAGCAAACCGGAACATATTCAGTGAGGATTTAGGGCCTTTGTCTGCTATGTTTAACCGGAACCACCTTGCTCCCTTGCAGCAAAGCCCAACTGCATTTCCCTTGAAATGCCTCAACAGGTTACGTTTGGGACGTGGGAGCAATCATTCCAGTGGCAGCAACGCGCCCGTGTTTGGAAATAAAAAATCTGAACCGTATTCAGTGTATTGCCTTGCGTGAGATTAAATGAGTAAAGGACTACTCTTCTGGCTCGGAAAACGGAGAGCAAGCGTGCAACTATTTGATTTCCTCGCTGTGCTAGCTTTTGATTACCCATGTACACACAAAACCTACCGGAGTGCAAATATATGCTGGCAGTCGGCTCTGCTCATTATGATGGAGAAGGATTAGAGGTTTATTGAGTCTCCTGGGAGTGCGTCCCTGGGATATGGGGAGGAACCGATAAAATGCACACAATAATGGCAACATGGAGATAGGTATACTGTCGCTACACCATAATCTCTCCGCAGTAACCGACCAATTAATTTGCTTTAAGAAACAATGAGGTGAATTAATGGGAGGGCCAAGGCTGCATGACTGACAATAGAAGAGAGATGCATGTGAATGACAGAAAACAAAGCACAACTGGATTTCTATATGAGGAACAAATTGAGATTTTTTTTTGCACGCTCATACATTCTATGGATGAAACAATACATCGACTATATGAAGTCAATGATTCATATTCGTTTTTAAACTCACGATACACACGTAGAATCAAGCGTGTAAGAATTTTTTATTTTTTGTTTATGTCGTACATATTTCGGTTTGCACCACCCCTGCAGCGATGAGAGGTATTATCTTTTGTCAGAATGTAAAAAAATTTAGTCTGAAATTAAAATCCTAAGATTGAATATCTAGTGGGGGGCTGGGGGGGATAAATCGTTCCACCCTTCGTATATCCTCCACGTTTATGTTGGTTTAGTCCACAATTTTCTCAACCCCGCAATTTCCAACTATCAGGTGCATGTGGTGTGCCGAGGCTTAATTCGCACGTGACTAAAACAGAGTGGTAATCACAATAAGGCAGTCTGTTGGGGGGGGTTGTGATGACCGAAGTTGAGTTAATCGTCACTAAGCCCAGCAGATTTGACCACATCGCTACTAAATGTTAAGCGCACCGTGCTTGCTGGAGAAAAAAAAAAGACAAAATAAATCAGTGGCTCACAATACCGGGCTCAGCATGAGCGTTCGCGGGGGAACGCCATTACAAGGAGACAACAGAGAGGGCAACGCGGGAGAGAGGGTTTGTGCAGGAGGACGTACTCAGGCGGCAGTAAGCGCGGATGAGGAGGCAGAGCAAGAGCAGGGCCCAAATGGCCTCAAGGCCCTGCACGGTTGTGGGCAGCACGCACGAGTGCAGCAGCTGCGTTAAAAACGTGGCCTGGTGCTCTTCCATCCTCTCCGCGACGAACACCTGCAGCCCCGCCATCGCGGGCACACGAAAGGCACACAAACGTGCAAAGTGAACGGGGAGAAGAGCAGCGAGCTGAGCGAGCTCGTGCGCACGCACGCACACACAATAACGTGTCGCGACAACACGCGAAAAAACATTTCAAGGAAGAAAAATTCAGGCAAACGAGCAGCCGCGAGCAACGCGCGCAAATTTAATTGACGGGGATTTAGGTCGGCCGGCTCACAACACATCTGCCCAGAAGCACACCTAAGCTGACAATCCACTGACATGGATGCTAAAGCGGGCAACTTTGTTTTTAGGCTAAACGAAACAAAGTTCCCCATTATTGACTTTTCAGCGAAAAAGCTTTCATAACATACTTTTATAGATGCTGCCAATTCTTCTGGAACTTTTGCAGCTTAAATGATAGTTTAATCCCTTTAAATATTGTCTAAAAGCTATGTACACGTTTGTAAAGGTATGCTAGGCATAATTATAATTGATGATTATTGTAGTATTTCTCATTAAGGGTGCAGTATATTTTGTAAATTATAAAAAAAAAATGCCAGCAAAACTGAATCGTGGAACAAATGGAAGCAAAATCAAATATCGCACACTTTTAAATAAAAAAAATAAAAAAAATAAAAATTACAATTATTTTGAATAAATTGCATTTATTTCATTTTCATTTTTAAATTTAATTTTATTATATAAATGTATTATATAAATTAAATTTATTTAGTTTTTTACCTACGTGACTTTACCGAAAGAACCAAAGAGTATGTATCCTTGCAGTCACGAAAACTTCAAATCTAGATTAAACCGAGAAGACCAAGTAAAACAAAACTTTAACGTAAGATTATCTTTAGCTTGGCAGCAAAAACATATCACCAGTTCTAATATCATACAAAGACATAACCTGAACAGATTGTTGGGTAGTGATTGCCTGGAGCCCCCATTGTGTAATGTATATCATAGCCAAAAGGAACATTCCCTGTATAGCGTACACATACAGCAATAGCAAGTGTTGTTAGCGAGCACCTATGAAGGCCGGCACGGCACACAAAGGGGTGAGTGGCCAACACCACGCCCGACTGCCTTTGTCTCCCTAGTGGCGATGTTTAAACACTGCACCAGGTACTCATTTGAGGCTGAGTCGACCTAGGAGAGGCCCAGGCCCGTTTCAAATAACCGTCACTGTTGTTGGCCGTGAGTGCAAATCGAACGCGTCCCGCCGGGTTCGCAGCGCACTAACCGCTACAAAACCACTCCCTGCGATACATACATACGTCAACACACACATACACGTGTGTAATTATCTAATCATCGCATGTCCAAAATAATATGTTGGACGCATACATTAGTGGCACCTGGTGTATCTAACACAATAAGAGTAGATAGATTAATGATATATCGCGTTCCACGTAATCAACATTAAGTGACCGCACTAAACAACTAATGGCAATGGTTGGTGCATCAAGATGATTCATTGAAATGCTGTCCACAGTAACCTGTGAGTTTTCATTCCAGATTTCTCAACTTTTAAGTGAAATAAGTAGTCCGTCATGTAAATGCATAACTTGGCAATGTGCCACTAATGCTTTATAAACACCAATGATGATGCATCAATGCGGTCTCTCTCGAAAACATCATGGGGCAGAATATATTCTACAGGAATACAACTAAACACGGGGGGGGGGGGGGGTGATTTTTCTTGGAAGTCAAATAACCATAACCAATTAAATAAAGGAATAACTGTGAAAGTGTACTCAAGAAAGGATCGGCGTGTTGGAAAAAGGGGCGAAATGCCCAGACTGTGCACAACTGCAATGTAGTGCAGAGGCATATTGCATAATTTTTAATTCCTCACCTGCCGTCCAGTTTATAACCGTAATTACTCATCGTCAGCTAAATTTATTGGAACGGTTACACAAAATGTGCACTTCAACAAAAAGGAAATATAATAGCAAAAGCTTAATTTTTGTTTCAAACAGGCTGTAACATCCGTTTATCATTTTCAATGTTCAATTTGAAACAATTTCTGAAATGGGCATCCGGCTACAATGTAACCTCTTAAATCCGACTCATATACCCAATTTGCTAGGACACCAAACGTAACAGATACATGCATAACACTAAAATTAATGCAGGCTTGCAGTACATGAAATTTGACCCAAGCACTGTTCATGAAAAAAAAAACCCATTTCATTCCATACGATATTAATAATTAAACACTTTTTTATACCAGACTTTGCAATTACACACAATATCAGTCTATGCAAATGTGCGGGACTACAATGATTCGATCTACGTGCAATTTCAGAAACAAGAATGTGATTACTGTTAGGTCCTGCAGGCAGTATATATATTTAAAATAACACAATCTCTGCTGTGCATGCATTTAAAAGTAGGCCAATGAAAGGGGCATCGCAAGCATTATGCAGCCCACAAGTTCTCAGCCTCTAATCCTCAGGGGCCACCGCAGTCCAGATGTCCATGTCTGCCAACGTTTTTCAATTCACATAGAAATAAGGCACCTATTCGCATTCAAATAAGATTATGTGCAATACATGCATCTGTTGATTAGTAGAGTAGGGGTGATTCGTTTTTTGCCGATTGCATGCATTAAAATTCTGCTGTGTGTGGGCCATGAAAAGTACTTTAGAGTGTGCAGCCTTTTAAATCTACAGCATCGTTTCCATCAGCATCGAATTATTCTCAATACACTCTTCACTTAAGAAGTGTCCATGCTCGCACTTCTGGCAATGTAATTGTATGGTACAATGAGAATGTTACAGTTATCTTACCTACAAATAAAAAAAGGAATATCATTGATAATTTGGGTTAAATCGTGTAGGTATAATACCAATTTTTTTTACTTTGGCCATCCACCAATCCACAAAGCCAGTCAAATCAAGTTGCAACGTGGGCAAAAAATATTAACTGATTTGGTTTATCAGCAAAACCGGAATGTTTAAAAGCAAGTAAAATGTTTACCATGTTTATCCGGCGTTTGGTGGAGATTACATCCAGCATTATCAGGTGTTAACAAAAGCTCTGCTCTCATCCTTTGCTGATAAACCAAATGAATTGGTATATTTGCCCACATGACACTTTGATTTGACTGGCTTTGTCGGGTGGCGGAGAGTTATAGTAAAAAACTGGCATCACAACTACACGATCTATAACCCAAAATAAATCGTTATGAATCAAAATGTTGGTCATAAAAGCTGACATATATAATAAACAAAAAAAATCGATAATTTAACCAGTAGGTTTTCTTCATGATCTCTACTCTGGAAAAGCAGGGTAGTTGGCGTATACCGAACTGCATTTAATAAGTACTGCATGACAGTACTTTATTCTACATGTACAGGCCTTTTGTGACTCCACTGTTGGATGAGGGACTTCCCACGCCATGGGGGTGGGTCGGGGGAGTGGAGGAGGAATCTACTTGGCCTTCCTTCACACTGCTCATTGTGGGTTGGTGACAGCAGGTAGCATAGATGTAGTTCAGTGTTTCTCAAACGTTTTTGGTCCGCGGACCACTCAGCCAATGCAGACCACCCCCCCCCCCCACCTTTGGTGATAAAATGCATTCACTCATCTCTAAATACCAGTAATAGAAAATGGATCATATGACCGGAACGTAAAAACATTTTTATTTGTAAATGCAGCAATTAGGTTATTTTTAAGGTGAAGCATTTAGATCTTCGGGTTAAGGGTAGTGTCATCAGGAGAGTTATCTAAATTATTTTTTTAATTAAATACCATCAGTGAAATCTCAATTAACGTCCGAAACAAAATGTATAAACATTGCCAATATTTCCGGATAAACTTGAATTTGCATCACACCCTGGCGGAACACCGGGAGGACCGTCACAGAGCACTGGTGGTCTGGAGACGACACTTTGAGGACGAGCATAGAAGTACAATACAACAATGTATTTTCCTGCAATGCCTTCTCCCGTCCACAATGTAACCCTCACAGCCCTGACAACCTGTTTGTGCGTTCTGGTTACTAATAAAAAAAACACTATCCAGGCTCAAACATGCTTAGCTTCTGAAATCTGAAAAAAATGAGGGGGATTGCACGTAAATTGGTCATCCGAAGTACTTGATTACAGTGTAATATGATGAATATATTATCAATGTATTGTACTGTGCACATTACATAAATGCACATCTACATATGACCCAAACACTGATTTCACCTTGCACTTGATGGAATCTGGTTGTATTTTTTTGGTTCCGCTCGAATGGGATGATATTTTTTGAATTATTGTGCTTGGGCTGTCAGGCACATGGAATTTCATGGTGAGCACATGCAATGCAGTTTAATTTCTCTCTCGTACAGAAGCAAACTGATTAGGATTGAGATAAAAAATGCCATCATAAACTTCACAAATAGATGGCAATAAATAAAACACTGCATTTAAAAACATTTTTATCTTCGAAAAATATACCACACCAAATCATACAAAAAAAGTGAAATGTTTTTTGGGGAATTTTTTTAAGACTTCAATGGCTGTGATTATTTAATGTTATTGGACCCTTCCTGACAAGGTTTGAGAAAGCCACAAAGCTAAACAGTCTCAAAGGCTGATATTATAAAAGTGAAATAACCTTGTATGAAGAATACACACTTGGTACCACCTAACCAGCTCCTACTTGAAAAGGAGTACTTACATAAATGTGTAGTGACATCGCGGGATGGCACTGTGTAGTGCCGGCCCGAGAGAGGCACGGCGTGCGGTGTATTGACATCGCGGATACCACAGTGGTGTGGGTGTAGTACGGGCCCTAGAGGGGCTCGGTCAGCGCTGATTGATAGCGCTGGATGGCACCACGCTTGGCGTGCAGTGCCGGCCCTACAGGATAGGGTGTGGGAGTGCCGGCCGTAGGAATGAGGTTACTAAAGGCCATGGCACTCTGGTTGACCCGAGATGACAAGTGACCAGTTAAGTCTACAAAGGGGCCCCAAGTGGGGGCTAGGGGTGGCCACGTGGTCCGGGTCCAGATTCTGCTCGAAGATTCTGGAAGGTGGTCGTGGCCAAGGGTGGAGCCAGACAGAGAATATAAGCCGGGTCCTCCAGAGGGACCGGCGTTGTTGTTCATCCTGAAGAAACCTTCGTCTACGTTCTACTGAGTCTCCAACACGTGGACCTGGACCCGAGCTGTGGTCCCGGTCCGTAGTAGCTCGTGACGTTGCAATTAGTGTAGTTAGCCTGGTGGTCACCACCTGGCTAACTACACCAGTCACATAGTAACTGGTGTAGTTAGCCTGGTGGTCACCACCTGGCTAACTACACCAGTCACGTGGTAACTAGTGTAGTTAGCCTGGTGGTCACCACCTGGCTAACTACACCAGTTACGTTATAATTAGTGTAGTTAGCCTGGTGGTCACCACCATAGGTTGTTATTCTGTTAAGGGGCAGTTACCCCGTGTGTTGGCGTTAAATAAATGTGTTGCCTCCAAGTGTACGTCTGCGACTCAGTTGAACTCACTACAAATGCATGCAAAGAGTATGACAGATTGATTGACTAGCGTTCAGTGGCATATGAACTCAGTCAGGAGTTAAGAATAATACAGCTTCATTATTATTTTGCAAAGTAAGGCAAAGGTAAAGGCAGTAAAACACCCCTCTCTAGCCAGCTCTTGCTTCGGCAAGACACCTAATTAGGTATTTGGCAGGACGATAAAATGTGCTAGCTAGTGCACCCACATTATATATGTGAGCTCCTGTATGCCTATTTTTACACACAATAAAGAACGGGTCTACACATTATAGCCAGTGGTGGTGGCGCATATCTGTAATGCAGTGATTCATTCACAGGCAGGGTTGGTAGACCATGCAGGTATTTGTCCGTGACACAATTCTTTATACCACATCTCCTATGCAGTACATCATGTTCATAAGACTTCCATATGCAAGGCAAGAAGGAGTATGTGGAGACAATGCAGCCAGGTTTATGTTCTTCCAACATTCTGACATTAAACCCATTCGAAAACCAAAACATCATTCACTCAATTGCTCAACTATCCCATTCATTCAAAAGTCTTCCACAAAAAAGGGTCTTGAAAATGCAATGAGGTTTTCAGGGGTTAGTGAAGAATTCAGCAATTATCACATGCAGTCAATTACATAACAAAGTATGACTATCGAGGCATGTAAATGGAAATTCAGCAAGAGGGTATAAGATGCGTTTCGTGTTATTGCACGTCTGCATCACATCAGCAGCCGAGTTCATTGATGCACCTCCACATCATAAAATCATCAATCATCGCCATCAGAGCGTGTCATTACCGTGCACTCGCAAGGTCATTCCAAAAAAAAAATGTACACCTGTCATCACTTAAGAGTCCCCAGATATCCTCCATGGAGTTAATACGGTTCAGCGGCGCTGTTACACGCCTGTTATCCTGCTCTTTATGGTCATGCACTGGTGGATCACACGGATATTTGCGTGGCTCCCAAATCTACTACTGGCCTGCAAAGGTGGCTGTGTTGCGATCGAAATGTCGTGATTTATTTTCTACCTACGTGACTTAACCGAAAGAACCAAAGAGTATGGATTCCTGCAATCACGAAAGCTTCAAATTAAGATTGCATAAAGCACTTATGAGTGATTTCCGCCCCCCCCCCTCCACAAATTGCATTGCTTTCAAATGCAGGGTGTCCTGAAAAAAAATGCAATCAGCTTCATTCAAGCTGTATATTTTAACAGATACATTTAAACACTTTCCTGTCCACTTATGACTGTTTTGTTTTTACAGCGTCATCTCGGAACATACAGCAGCAGAATTAACATGACAATCCGCTTAATCTTCTCAAAACACCCGACTCTCGTGGCAATTTTCCTTTGTGGGGGCCACCGCATCTTTGCGCGTTATCAGGACCATCTACAATCATGCCTTTGATTGCACAATCAATCTCACTTTCAGGTGCTTTAGGAGACGGCAGCACAGCAAGTGGGTTCATGAACCTTTCCCTGCCAGGCATTTATCGCCTTGCGTGCTGGATTGAGTTTCTCCCGTGTAATCAGATTTTATTCCAAATGCAACAACAAAAAAACCACCACTCATTCATGGTTTCTGGCAAAACGTCCCAATTTCTGGCTATAAAAAAGTGTTGCATCGCTTTTTCTTTCTTTCTGCATCCTCCTGCAAAAAGAATATCGAGACTCGGTGAGGTTTTTTTTCTTTTCACGGACACCTTTAATTTAGAAACAACTCTATTGCAATTCCTGGAAGCTGCAACATTTCCTTATTGAAGAACACCACCAGCCTTGGTCTGGCTTGCACGAGCCTGCAACCTTGAGCGCCGGCTATAAATTCAAAATCCACGAGCCATTCATTTATACCTTTTTTTTTAGCCCACCCGGTGACCGTGGAACAACACGCACCCTCGGATAGAATCCCTACCGCCCGAGGCGCGTCTCGCCGGGTAGGCGCGGCACCTTCGCGCGCGAGGCCCAACGCTCGTGCGACCGGCGCGCGCGCGCACACACACACACAGCAGCAGCAGCAGCAACCCGCACGCCCGCACGCCCGCCCGAATATTTCCAACAACAAAACAAACGCACGTCGCCAGCGAAGGACGCGGCGCTGCTCGGTGGCTCGCCAAAATGCAAGTTTGCCACCGACCTTTGTGCGAAGCGAGTGCCCCCGAAGTCTTGAGGGCCGAGCGAACGGGTCTCCCCGCGGGGGTCTCACGGCCGCCGCTGCATCGCCAGCGACTGCCGCGATCCTCGGGGTCCGCCACCAGCCGCCGCCGCCGCCGCGGTCTTCCGCCGCCGGCAGAGAGAGAGAGGAGCTCGCTCTGCCGGTGGCGGAAGACGTCGTCCGGTAGAGCTTCTCTCTGCCGGAAGATGCGGCGGATGAGATGATCCATCTTCCGGAAGATCAGAAGAACTAACTTGATTTTGATTTAAAGCATTTCGTGACTGCAGTGATTCATATTCTTAGCTCTTTCGGTAAAGTCACGTTGTTTCCCTTCAACGTGACTTTACCGAAAGAGCTAAGAATATGAACTAACTTGATTTTGATTTAAAACATTTCGTGACTGCAGTGATTCATATTCTTGGTTCTTTCGGTAAAGTCACCACGTTGAAGGGAAACAAAAAAATAATAAAATATATATAAAACAATAAAATATAAAAATTTATTGTTATATATTTTATTATTTTATTGTTTGCCTTCAACGTGACTTTACCGAAAGAACCAATAATACATTCTTCGCTCTTTCGGTAAAGTCACGTTGAAGGGAAACAATAAAATAATAATACATATAAAAACAATAAAATAGTGAGAATTGTATTGTTTTATATATATTATTACTTTATTGTTTCCCTTTAACGTGACTTTACCGAAATAGCTAAGAATATGAATTACTGCAGTCACGAAAGCTTTAAATGAAAATTTAACCAAGAATATAACTAACTTGATTTGAAGCATTGGTGACTGCAGGAATCTATACTCTTTCGTTCATTCTGTAAAGTCACGTAAGTTATCGTCATCCATGCGATCGAAACGTCGTGATTTATTATTTTTCTACCTACGTGACTTTGCCGATAGAACCAAAGAGTATCGTGTCGTTAAACCCACCACCACCCGAACGTAACCAATTAATAAGGCTTGTCACGTGTGTTGGAGAGCCAAGCCACAACATTTACAATCTGAGTACGACGTTTCGCCAATAATTACAATTAGCTTCATCAGGCGACAGCCAGATTTGTTAATATAAATGTGTTTTTTTTTATTTAAAGCTTTCGTGACTACAGGGATTCATATTCTTGGTTATTTTGGAGAAAGTCACGTCGAAGGGAAATAATAAAATAATAAAACAATAAAATGATCACGACGTTTCGACTGCAACACAAGCAATCATCATCAGGTGTGAAAACCACAGCAAGAAAATATGAAAAAAGTGGCGGTTTTTAAACGTTAGCACCACGGAGAGCGATTTGGCAGTTATTCAGATGGACGAGTCCATCTATGTTCGGAAAAGAGGAGGGGGGAGACGAAAATAATGGATGTGGTCTGAAAGCCACCGTAAGCGTGAACAATCAATTAAGACCCGAAATGGTTTATCAAATCCTTCCAATGATTGCTAAGCCAGAATCCATCTTCTCGGTTGAAATTGTCTCTGTGTTTGTATATTTGGATAGCCTCATGAACGAATCTCTCATGGTAGCCAGATGGCTTGCAAATAACCTCTGTCTTGGAGAAGTCAATGTCATGTGAGCCTACTGAATTATAACAATGATCTGCCACGGCCGAGGTGTTGGTCCTACCGTGTTTTAGGTCTGCTTTGTGTTCACGAATGCGGTCCGAGACATGTCGTTTGGTTTCTCCAATGTAACTACTACCACAGAGGCAACTTAGTTTGTAGACAACAAGGTACTGTATGTCCGGAATCACATCTCTTACAGACGGAACCAGATCACGGATTTTATGTAATGTGTTGAATCGGACCTGGATCTTGTGTTTATTTAAGATTTTGGAGATCTTTTTTGTGATCCCCGCAATGTAGGGTAAAGTGATGGTTTTGAAAGGCTCCTCAAGAGGGTCCTTCTTCATGGTAGGAGTGATAGCTTTGCGGATTGTGTAGTCGGAGTAACCATTAGCCTTAAGAGCTTGGTGTACGTGCTTGAGTTCACTGGCTATGTGTTCCTGGTCGGATATGCATTGGGCTCTATGGTGCAGAGTCTTGATGAGGGAATTCTTCTGGGATGGATGGTGGTGGGAATTCGGTTTACTCAACGATGGCAGCTATACAAAAATAAAAAGAGATCCCACCAACAGCCTCGTCATACAAACGTACAAAATCATTTCTGATTCAAATGCATTAATTGATCAAACCAAACAGTTATCGGTTCTTTCGGTAAAGTCACGTAGAAAAGAAACAATAAAATAATAAAAATAAAAATATGAATCCCTGCAGTCACGAAAGCTTTAAATAAATAAAAAAAACCAAACAGTTCTCGTTCAAACCTTCTGCTGCCAGGCCACCAAAATTATACGGCTTACCAAAAATACATAAAGTAGATACACCCCTTCGTCCCATCGTCTCTACTATCAACTCCCCCACCTACAAACTGGCTCGTTTTCTGTCTGAAATCCTGTGACCTTTCACTGGAAAAACCACCTCTGCGGTACAAATTCTACTCACCTGGTATCGACAATCACGGGTATTTCCCTGTCCCCAGACGACCTGCTTGTCAGTTTTGATGTATTATGAGACCTCTTTTGCCAGTAACAAGATATAGTAATAGGTTTTTACCCTTTTAGCTGGCACAAAAACTGACACCTTTATACAAGGGATCATTCTGCAATAACCACAACACAAGCAGTGAAAAATGCAAACAAAAAGAAACAACTCTGATAATAATATGCACTGTCCTTGAATTTGATTGGTCCACACCCGAGACGGCTTTTCTTAGAGCCTAGTCTCCACTGGTGTTGGACCAGATGACGCCAAAAGGCGTACACCAATTGGGTCGAGGCTCAAAAGAAAGCCGTCCCTTGGTGTGGACCAATCAGTTTCAAGGACAATGCATATATTATCATAGTATGTTTTTTGTTTGCATTTTGACTGCAGGTATTGTGGTTAATGCAGACATGAATCCTTGTAAAAAGGTTTCAGTTTTGATGCCAGAAAAAAAGAGGAAAAACCCCTATTATTATATCATTTAAAATATATATAAAACACAACTTTTTTTATCTTACCAAGTAAAGCCCACTGAGCTAGTAGCTTTTTTTTCAGAAACGACCTGGCCACAAATGATAGCTCCAACATAGTGACTTATCATGTGCAAATGTATAGCAGCTAAATACATCTGAATAATCTAAACACATGCCTCTAATATAACCAAAAATATATTCTGCAAAATACAGGACATCTATAGTTCCCGAAAACGGATTTCGCATGATTCAGTATTGAGGTTGAGTTTTTTTTTAATTGAATCTGCTGGGTTATGGTTCGTGTTTGTGTGTGTGTGTAATTTTTCAGGTTCCTTAGGTGTTCTACCTTGTAATGTGTAGTTCGAGCAATGCTTATTGAACTCCTAAATTCTGCGATGATTTATAACATCTAAAATCCCCGATTATGTTGAGTGATGAATATCGCGGATCCTATTAACCGCCGTGTTTATAAACGTTATAGCATGGAAAAATGGTACAACAATGGGGGTTTTCTTGCACCGCAAACTTACTCCAATTATCCGCGAAAAATGCGGATAAGAGGAGTTTCAATTATAGCATCATATTATCCACGAGGGGTTATTAACGTGGTAGCATAGAAGATTTCCAACGATATATTTTTCTGCTCTGTGAAATGGTTCCATTTACCTGTGGGAGAAACATGGCAGATAAGAGTTAACTCTGTTTAAATAAATAATATGAGTGATTAAATGATGCACACCATCTCAATGTAAATTGCTTTTTAACCTTTCCCCCACTTTCAATGCACTAACCATTAATGTGATAGATGATGGTGAATGATAAATGCAGTAAAATGCTGTGGTTATAAAGTTAAAATGAAGCAATATGGCATAAAAATAAATGTAACTACTGAACTTGCGAAATAATGAATTGATATGAAATCGTAGATTTGAATAATTATCGGAGCATGAATGTAAAAAATATTAATGGCAATTAAATAGTAAATAATTGTACCGTAGTGAAGCAATAAAGTATTAAACGTGTCTCAAGACTCTTTTCAAGCTACTGCTCTGGCATGTTTGGCCAATGCCTTTAAGTAGGATGTTCTCTTTTCTTTAAGTGACCACATTCTTACACTCTTGTTTCATGTGTATTGCAGTGGTTACTGTCGGTGGTTTTATACTCATTGCCTCTTTGTAAGCTCCATCACTCCCTTTGACCAAATCACACGGAGTGAATCAGATTTAAATCAGATGGCAGAAGCTAAGCGGAGTTGAGCCTGGATTGTGCTTGGATGGGTGACCACAATGCATAACAAGGTGTCATAGGCTGTGGGAATATATCACTGGCAGCAGAGGACAATGCAGCAAAATACATTCTTATAATACACTGCTATGCTCCCACATCTATCCATGCTTACTTGCCTTCACCAACCCACATTAGCTGGTGACTCATTCTCCATGATCTTGTCAGATTTTGAAAGTCAAGCAGAGGTTCAGCCAGGATTGCGTGATCGGCTGCAGTGTTATAAGATGCAGGGCTATTGTTGTGGGTATCTATCATTGTCCCGTCCTTCACTTGTCTACTCACATAGCCCTGCTACCCACCTTCGAATCTGCACAGACCAGCGGCAGTGAAGTATTCGTGAAACAATCCCCAAGACACCACACGCGGCATGACGGATTGTCGTCCACCAGGAGATGAGTTTTAATTTTGTATGATAGAATATAGTATTGTCATCAGTATGACATAAGTATACCAAGTTTGCAGTCGATACCACATTGAGAAGTGGGTAAAAATTGAGTTACAAGATTTGAGGATACAACAACAACAACAGAGTGAGTTAATAAAAAGCGTGTAATAATAATAATAACTGTGCATCGTAGTGGAAGACTTGAGTTGAGCCAAACCAGTTGACCGTTATTCTTTGAAGTTGTGAATTTGCACACACTGCATTTCCACTCCTGTGCCAAACGAGACATATCTGCGTAATTTAATGTTTAAATGATTGAACATACCGAAAGTATAAAACGTTGAGGTTAAGTAGATGAACGCTATTTGTAGTTGAGACCAAAAATGTAAGACGGTACATATGCTGCATGGAAAGTTATTTATTTGCATTCCCATTATAATACATATAGCTACCGAGTTGT